GACATCTACAGCACATATATAATTATAAATCTACCTGAAACTTTTCTTCATAAAGAAACCTATTCATCCAATTACTTAGGATGTAGAGATATGACATTATCAACAAGAACTGTGTATGTATGCATGTATACTGTGTGTCCTTATGTATATAATTATGTACCAGATATGACATAGACTGAAATAACTGGACCTACAAACTTCTATTTCTTTACTTCTAACCTCTTCGATCTCCACTTGTATCAGTACATAAAATCATGTCCTATAATGATATCTCACCAGTATTTTCTTATTTCAATCAAACCTCAATTGTGTTGCCTCAGAACCAACATAACATTGACAGACAGAAGGGATAGAAATTGTCTATTTGACAGCAATAAATATGAATGAAAACAGATGTCTTTATGTTAACCAATTCATGGTCTGTCAGAGTCACTTAATCTACTTGAACCCATCAAGACCAGTCTTCAGCAGATGAAGAAAACTGACACCAATGTAATCCACTATTTTTTGTATAAATATTGCATGTGGCATCCACTAATGTTGGTGTGGGGGCGTGGGTACTGACAAGGGGGAGGTAACTCTTTTGCAAATGATTTCAACATGTAAAACATAGGTTCCCAAAGATGTTCAGATCGGCACAATCACACATGATATGTTTGCTAATTAACATCATCTGGCATAGATATAATTCAAGTTTACCTCCTATACATACCTGTCCTAACCATTAACAAGTTAGGACTTTGTCAAGTGGATGGACAATGATGGACAGTAGAAAGTTGGAAAGTAGTCAAAGCGTTTCTGGACATGTGTACGGGATGAAAAGCCCACCCCCAGAACCAAGTCAACCAATGTACATATCAACAGCTTTACAGACATGTGTGTGATGCCAAAACGGCAAGTTTTTGCCAGAGACAAAATGGCCTTGGGAGTACAGGTAACCAAAGATGTCTGCCACAGCTTGTGGCCATTACGATGGTCGATCAGCCTTGTGATGATGACATTGGCAATGTAACAACTATTCCACCATGAATGTAGGTTGTCCTCAGTAAAACTGGTCCCTTTAAGGAGACTAATCTCAAAGAGATCAGTTCTACCACAGATTGCTCTTTCCAAATAATTACCAGAAAAATATGTCTTTGTTTGCTGTCCCTGATACAAGCTACTTATTTCAAGTGAAAGAACTTGCTACCTTTTGAAGAGTTTCTAAAGATGTCATCAACACTCCATGAGAAAGTCCATTTACATTCTCTATGCTCAATATGCGGACCCTACAGTGTAATAAATCCAATGGATGATATTTTTAACCAATCTGAATTTTTTCTTCGTACACCCAGTAGCCTCATTTCAATCATGCATTAGTACCTTTCCCAGCTCTCCCAATATATTTCACCAACAAATGCAGATTTTTACATCACAAGTGCATCTCACCTATACAAATTGTTTCATTTTAATCAGAAGGTATTTAAACTCACCCCGTCATTATCTCCTATAATCACTGGCCCACTGAGACCTGTGTTTACGCCGAACCGGGGACATTTGGGATCATCCCTCTAACACCAGATTATAGATCAACTTCTAGATTTAAAACCACCATCACATTGACAAAACCTCTATGACAAATAAATTTACTTCTTAAAACTGGGCAAATGTCTCTTGCTTCCTTCAGAATCTTGTCATTCTAACCTGACACTTTAAGTGTGAGAATTCCCACGTTAATCAGTCACATTATAAAAAACATAATTTCAACAATAAGTTTCTAAGAAATCTCCTTCAATGTCAATATGTGGTGAGGGTGATTCACTGTTCACTGAATGAAGTTTGCAGTCTCCCAACCCATATCATTGGTTTTCAACTCTCTTCTCATACTGACTGGGTTTTTCATAGCCAATTCTGATTTCACATCCAACTCTACAGTTAGTTCATAATAGCAAGATTGAAAAGTGATGATCGAGTCTGAAATAGCCTCGTTTTGATAGAGTAGTAGAAGTCACAACAAAAGTGTAAATGTAATGTAAGCATCATTAAGTTACAATTTTTCCACACATATATATATATCAATCAAGTTATTATTAAACAAATTTTTAAAAAAATCAACATAATATTGACATCAAAACCAGATTTTATACATCACAGAACACATTCATAAAAAAATTCTGAAATTCCTGAAATTTGTTTCCCTTTAAGAAACTTTCACTCTCTGAACATTTTGATTTGTAGAGACAATATTTGGCAATGAGCAGCTGAAGAACTGAATACAGAAGATTGAAAAAATAATAAACAGACATTTTGTGTGTTGCTAAATGATGCCAGGAATTATAGATGCACAAAACAAGGAATGGCAAAATGAAATGGAAATGTTCCAGGTTAGTAAGTGAACAATGTCAAGAGAAAACATCTGTCCACTTGTGGAAACAGTCAGCAAACTTGTGTGCATAGGTTTCCTACATCTATATGTTGTTGCAAGTCCTTTAAGTAAGGGTCAGGGGCAATAAACAGTAATACAACAGGAACATATCTGTCATCTCACTGGAGTTATTACAGTCTAAATTACTATATAGTCTTTATACTCATTAGATGTCGCCTCTAACCCCCTCCCCCAACACACACCCAAAAAATGGCTTATAACACGAGACTGTGCTTCTACAAATATGAATGACTGTTTGTGTGGTATTTTACAGCACACATTGAGAAAAGGGCAGATAACTCTAATCGGACATGTAAATGCAAGAAGAGTTAACTCAAAATTAATAAGGATAAAATATGAGAGCCCAATGTTAATCTACAATATATTGTTTTACAATCAATCAAGTGCAATGCTTAGAGCACCAATATTTCTTGGAGTGAAAAAGTGATAACTGGTAAATGTTGCAAGACATCAGTGCATGGAGAAACATGAAGTACAATTTAATACTCAGACATGTTTTCTGACAGAACAATACAGATATACACACAGATGGAACTTGATGATGATTGTGTCCTACAAAATATGATATTGTTTCTTGTTAGGTTACAACTAACAAGGGTCCAAACCAGTAGAGAGTCCCTGATGATTAAACATGAACATCTGACCTGATAGGCACTTATCTGGACAAACAAACTTAATTGGTACATCTGATGGTAGCTATTCCTCAATAAAACAATGCAAGCACTAGTGAAAGATGATCCTGCCAAACTTTATGTTGGTAGGATGAGCTAATGAAGAGGTCAGCACATTACTGTCATTAGCATGATCCTCACGGGGGAGTAACACCAGAGAATGAAACAGCATCATTAAATATGGTGCTCTGCTTTGATACCATTCTCCTACCTCTAAAGATATTGGTATTCTTCACATGTAGGAGAGTTCCAAGACAGGGAGGTAATCAGGATACAATATAAAGATGAAGATTACAATTTACCTGTAAATTAATTTTCCCACAAATTTGATGTTCTTAAGAAAATCGAAAACCTTTTTTAATGAATGAAAATGAAACTGAATAAAATTGTACAAATTTCAGGAGTCACCCTAAGATATGGTTTTTCAAAGTTGTCAGTTCTAGAACTAAATAACACATCACAAATAGATCAGTTCACCAAATATTTTCTATTTCATGTTCATATATGGCAATATTCATCCGGCAATTATCCTTAAGAAATAAACTCACTGTTCAGTAAAATTTTCCACAATTTCTATTTCATTGGTGTGTAATAAGCTTAAGTAAAATTTTCAACAAGCTTTTTCACATTTGCCTGTGATAAACTATTGCTTTAGTAAAATTTTCCACATGTTCGTTTTCATTGGCCTGTCTAAACCCATTGTTTGGTAAAATTTTCCATATGTTCGTTTTCATTGGCCTGTCTAAACCCATTGTTTGGTAAAATTTTCCACATGTTCTTTTTCATTGGCCTGTCTAAACCCATTGTTTGGTAAATTTTTCATTATGCTCTTTTTCATTGGCTTGTAAAAAGCTCATAATTTAGTTAAGTTTTCAACATGAACAATTTCATTGGCCTGTAATAAGCTCACTTTCAACATGTGCTATTTCATTGCTCTGTAATAAGCCCATCCCTAATTTGAATCAAAATTAATGGGTAGATACACTGGGCTTATTACTTGATCAATATAGCATCGATTTTCCAGAGTCATTTCTACTTTTGTTCAAAAGAGGAAATACAGATAGGAGTTTATAAAACCTGCACACAAGGGCATCATTGTAACATCATCCCACTTATAATAACAGAACCTATATGAAGGTAATTATACAGTGTTATCATCCATATTATCAGACAAATTATCAAATTGAGATACATAAATTATTGGGATGATTATTGCTGTTGACCAAGCAATAATTGCTTTGAAATGAAAACTCACTCAATATTTTGTTTTTATGTTAGGTAGTGTTTTAAAAAAAACCATTGCATTGAAAATCACTTAATTTGAACTATTTGAAGAATAACTATAAGATCCATGACTTTCTCAAGCAGTCCAATCACTGTTAAAGAGAGACTGAATTAGAACCAGCTGGGGTCTATAACAAACACAGAATTGGAAGTTTATCAACCATCTCAAACTTGTCTTTGATAAAACGAACAGTTAACACCTTATATACTAGGATAAGGAGCCTGCAAGACCAGGCAAAACACTCATCTCCTTATCAACAACTTATCCTGACAAATTAGACAGGAGAAAAAACATTGTACCTCTACTACAACACAGCACACTCACGTTAACTTGTGTAATGATTACAATTCAAGATCATGACTGAACTATTGGAGGATATGGAAATTTTAAAACTAGATGCAATTACACCACGCTATTTCAAGTCCTATATGACATCAAATTACTAGATAGAAGCATATTAACAAAGTCTGTGATTGACTAAATAGTTTAGTTAAGATTTACAAGTGGAAAAAAGGAGGAGAAAATAAATTCTGATCTGAAGAAATAAATCTAATCAAAAATGTTATGATTAGAAAGATGTCACAAAAACACACGAAGAAATATAAAAAGGTAAACTTACATTAATAAGAGTTGGGAAGTTCTCAAATCTGCAGCCGTGCGTTTGTACCTGTAAGTAAGATCAGAATAAGTCTTCAGTACAGCAGTAACCTAATACATTAATCTACATCTAGTAATATATTCATGGGTACACACCCAAGATTAAACATTTCCCAAACAGATGGTTTCTCGCACAAGGCAGGGTCATATATTCCATCATGTCCCATGATAGTCTCCCTTTGATTGTTTATAGTATCTGAAAGTTAATGGTAGAGGGGAGGGAAGGAAGGGGAGGTGAGGGGGTAGAATGCATGTTCATGGTCCACAAATACTTTTTGGATGTGATTTGAACTCAAAACATTCTCTTAATTCTTTCATTATATCAAATAAGCAGCACTGATTTTGAAGAGTTGAGGCCCTTGATGAAAATCACATCATTAACCAAAAGAATAGACCCTAAATTTATCAACTACTGCAGAGTGTACAGACTATAATCTCACTAGACTTAGCAGATGCACAAAATGTACTCCAGACAGTCAAATTATTAAATATTGTGTATAAATCTTTCCGAATCTCATAAACACAAGTTATAATGCTCTACAAAGAAAGGATAAAGTGATTTGTAAAATTACATTTCTTTTACTGTAACCACCATGTAAATGTTTGATATAAATATCTTATATATCACAAGAATTAAAACATGTCATCAATATGTAGCTTCAATCCAGAAGAAATGTGCATATATCATTTATATAGAATTGCTGTGAACAAGTAGTAGTGAATTGGGGAGGGAAAATAAATAATTTCAAATTTCTGGTTTCATTTACGATCAAAGAGGTTCAGTATTATTGAGGCACCTAGGGGGTAATTATGATCCCCTGTAATACAGATTTTATTGCCATATGCTAGCTAGCTGGATCCCAAATACAAGCACCAGTCAACCAGTCCTCCACAAAAATGCCTGTTTTTGATTTTCATTGCTTCAAGGGATCTTAAAATTTGATTTCACCGTGGGGATTCTTCAAGTTTTTTCAAGATAATATTCACTTCAATGATTTGATATCTTGCATCACTTTCCTTAGAAATTCATTATCTCTGTAGAACAGATCCTCTGGCATTTCATCTCTTTTAATTAACATATACCAAATTTCCTGGAGGTATTATCTCCCTTTGCTGACAGTTTGACAGGCAGAAAAAATATATCATTTGTTTTTGGTTGATTTTTTTCATAACAAATATCATGGAAGAGGAATCATATTTACCAGTCAAATGTAACAGATGAAAGAAAAACCTAGCTATAAACATGATATTAATGAATTATCTTATCATTTAATGAGATCGCTCGATGGTGAAAGAAATGGGTTTGCTTAAGCATGCACAGGTGTGACGACAATGCAGATTATGAAAACTATCAGCCAATGTAAACTTAACTCTGACATGAAAGAGTTCCAAATCAAGATCAGAGAGTATAGCTCTCACCCTCTTTATCAGCATTATGAAAATTAAACATATTTTCTCCAGAGCATTCGTTTGATTCTTCAGTCCTTCCATCCAAAATACATTGTTTAATTATCAAGCATTAAAAGCACATACCTCCGACAATACATAACTCTTGCTATAACTGTAAGAAAAGCTACACAGAAGACTTAATGATGAAATACCTGGTCAGTATCCAAAAGCAAAATATTTATATGTCAAAATCAGGTATAGAAACAAATTCAAGATGGCCAACGTTCTTCTTCCACTAGGACTTTGTATACTTGCCGCAAAGCTTTCAACTACAGTATAAACAAGGGTTGAAACTTAGTACTAAATAACTCCCTCCTACTTCATCCTACATTATATTACAAAACGATCAATTCCCTCTCATGTCTCTTCAAACTCAAAAAGATTTTTTGAAATCCATTACAACCAATTGCAAAAGCTCGAGGGTAAAATTTCCTTCTACCATCATATAGCGATACAGAAAAGGATTGACAGATAAGAAAAAGGACAATTGCTTGCCTGTCCTTTCGGCTGGTGTGATTTACTAGCTGTTGTTTCAGGGTTTTAGTCTGTCGTTGGCAGAATCTGTCTGTAATTCTCTCACAGCTTATTCCTTTCTCCTAGCTCTGCTTTTTATTTTGCCTCCTTCGAGAACTCAAATGCAGATTTGTAGATTACAGAACACACTTTTATAGAAAAATTTTGAGTGAAACCAAAATCCCTGCGAGTTTCTACAATTCCACATTACAGTAAACAAATAATAAATTTAGAGATGGAAAGGTTATTTGTAAACATAAAGCTTTTTGTTTTGAAGTGTTGACCATAGTTTACTCCCAATTACTTCAAAAGAGGACTTCACATAGCTTCCAAATTATATAAGATCAGCAACTTAAGTACAAAAAATGGTTTTATTTCATTTAAGCAAATCTCTTAAAAGGTGATACTGAAAAGTCTTTGGTAATTATACCTATAGTAAAATGGTGTGTGTTGCAACTATAAGATAAGCCAACACAATGAAGGTATCTAACCTTCATCCTTCTCAACACCATCAAGGTATCTAACCTTCATCCTTCTCAACACCATCAAGGTATCTAACCTTCATCCTTCTCACCACCATCAAGGTATTCAACCTTCATCCTTCTCAACACCATCAAGGTATCTACCCTTCATCCTTCTCAACACCATCAAGGTATCTAACCTTCATCCTTCTCACCACCATCAAGGTATTCAACCTTCATCCTTCTCAACACCATCAAGGTATCTACCCTTCATCCTTCTCAACACCATCAAGGTATCTAACCTTCATCCTTCTCAACACCATCAAGGTATCTACCCTTCATCCTTCTCAACACCATCAAGGTATCTAACCTTCATCCTTCTCACCACCATCAAGGTATTCAACCTTCATCCTTCTCACCACCATCAAGGTATCTACCCTTCATCCTTCTCACCACCATCAAGGTATCTACCCTTCATCCTTCTCACCACCATCAAGGTATCTAACCTTCATCCTTCTCACCACCATCAAGGTATCTAACCTTCATCCTTCTCACCACCATCAAGGTATCTACCCTTCATCCTTCTTACCACCATCAAGGTATCTACCCTTCATCCTTCTCAACATCATCAATGTATCAAACCTTCATCCTTCCACACACCGTCAATGTAACTTACCTCATTTCTTTTTAACACCATCAATGTAAACTATCTCATTTCTTTCTAACACCATCAACTTAACCTACCTTATTTCTTTCTAACATCATCGAAGTGACCCATATTAAGCTTGCAGAACACCTTGAACATAAAGTAAGTAAGACAAAACTTAAGCTCTCCCCATTCACAGAATCTGTCCAAAGGTCTCATCTGCAAGAATGCTTTTGCCCCAAAATTTGACGCGGCTTACATAACACATTTTGCATTCCTGCCAAAATCAGATGCTTCAATTCAAGAGTCAAAATAGATAGGATCATCTGAAACTACTGATAATCACAGTTTCTTGTACTACAAGACATAATGTAAACACAAAGATAGACGTGATCAGCCAGCTGACTTTCTCAACAGTTGTTTCCATCTTATGTATGTTTTGAAGATGACATCAGTCTACTGTTCTAGTTCCCAAATTTTGTGGTAGGGAAACCTTTCAAACATTTATCAAAGCTTGCAGCCAAATTTCCTCTGTGAATTGAAATATTTACATTACTAGGAACATCACAATGTCTGTAGAAAGGAATATTACAAATTACACCATATATCCACATCAATTTTTCATAATTGAGTCTTGAAATGACCTGTAAAAAGATGTTACAGCTATTTCTAAAAGACCTTCATGTCAAAGGTTTTTCCTATCAAGGCAGTGACCATGTATAGAGTATAAGGTTGTGTAAACCTTCTTACAAAGATCCCAATTTTATTCCTCAGAATGTCAAGGTCTCATGAACCTTTGTTCGGACAGATTAATTCAATGTCTAATTCATTAGAACACCCATCCAACATTCTGACATGCTGATGACCCTCATGTTCAAATTTGGCAATTTTTATTCACTTCAACCTTGAAACCAAAAGTAAAGGTTGTGAATTAGGATGTCAGTTCTTAAATGTTGCCTATTCAGCCTACAACACAAATGATGCTAATTTGTGAAATGGAATATTCAGTTCCACATATATGCTAATGAAACTGGTGAATTTGCATATTTATCAAAACAAAAAGCAATTAGAGCAGCAGGAAATGTTCAACATAACGCAAGATCATATTATCTGGGTTACTCCTTTACTGGTAAGTGTGGTAGTTATCTCCCTTTAATACTCCAGCAATCATTTTGTTCCTATTAAATCTGTATTACCAACATTTTACTAGTTTGTTAAGAGAAATGGAAGACAATTTCAGTATATTGAGAAAATATTTAAAGTCAGCAACTAATTCGTGGAAAGGGTTCTTTTAATCATGCATACAGTATGGAAGCTTGCTATCCATAAAAACCACTAAGCACTTGCTGCACACACTAAAGTACATTGCACTTATAGACTTCAGCACCCCTTCCCCTCTTTGTTATTTACACAAACAACAAAATTCTATTTCCAATTACAAAATTTGTTACATTCATAATTTTACAAAGCATTTCATCTAAACCCAAATGATATCATTCAATTTTATAAACTAATTTTAACTTTCTAGTTGAATTTTCACCAACAATAAACCACACACCAGTAATGTACTGACCAAGCCATTACAATACAATTCCTATTCATCCTGGGTTAGCCCAGATGGTCCTTCAGGCAAAGTAAGCTGATGCCTTTGTCCATTCATCAACTCTATGAATCCTCTCTACTTGTCATCAACGGCTAAGGAAATAGTGGGTCTGAAACCCTCCTGGGGCTGAGGGAGTCATCTGCAAATACTTAGTTTTCTCTTATGTTGGTATTTTTCTTTTTCCAATTGTTGGAAACAGAAATACCTTTAAAATAATTCTTCTTCAGTTTGGATGCAGGTATTTTAATAAAATTTGGTTTGGGACTTTAAAATCCTTGTTATCTTCACAATACCATTTGATGTGAAGGTGAAACTTCCAGGTGAGCCATACAAGTCATTTAGAACACTTGTTTCTATATGTAATGTCACCTGCACAAAACTCAGCTGAAGCGATGTATTTGCAGTATGTTCTGTTATCAAGTCACAAGATCAAAAGTGTGTCACACAATGACCAGTGACTTCGTTAACATCTGACATAGTGAAAGTCATACAGGGCAATTAAATCTGACATAGTGAAAGTCACACAGGGCAATTAAATCTGACATAGTGAAAGTCATACAGGGCACTTTAATCTGACATAGTGAAAGTCATACAGGGCACTTTAATCTGACATAGTGAAAGTCACACAGGGCAATTAAATCTGACATAGTGAAAGACACACAGGGCACTTTAATCTGACATAGTGAAAGTCACACAGGGCACTTTAATCTGACATAGTGAAAGACACACTGGGCACTTTAATCTGACATAGTGAAAGTTACATAAATCCGATTCACATTTGTTTGCCAGATTGATCTGCTTGTGACCAGCCAGGTTTGAGGCAGAATCTCCTGGAGAAAGCTGGTGGCTACCACAATGAACATCATTCAGAAGGTCTGCCACATGCCATCCAGAGCTATTGGGTTTCAAATTACTTGTCCTAGGGCACAATCACAACAAAACATGTTGGCTTGCCAACAAAATGATAACTTCACTTGTTGCTGCATCAGTCGAAAGTTCTACACACTGAGCTATTGCAAGCCTCTTCAGATTCACAAACCAGACAAATACAGACAAAATCATCAGTACACAGACAAGCAGTGGATGATGTATTATGTTGACTTTTTTCTCTTTAATAGGTAGCAAACCAACAAATACACGTGTCATAGAAGGTTTAACAAATCAAAAGAAAAACAGCGAGTAGTTGGACGACAGATAGCGCCCTCTATAGGGAAAAACCAAACCTAGCACATTACATATCCTTCACCATCAAACAACAAGTTTTATTTCTGAGTACAATGCCAATACAATTTCCATCAGACCTGTTACAAAAACGTTTCAGTTCTGATGGCCTAGGTACAATAGCAGTTAACCTCCTGTCAACACAGCACATATGTGGGTTAAACCCAGGTACATATAAATCTGGTTTCTCCATTGCATACCAAAAAACAAACATGGTTGTAATTTTCCGACATTATAAAAAAGTGGCAATATAGAATCCCTACAGGGTAAATAATGTTCACCAACAAACAAACATATAAGTAACAATAACAAATAATTTCACCTGTCCATACAGTTTTTAAGAAATAAAGTTTTATTATCAATAATGAAATTTAAATTTCAGGGTTAGTGTCCTGATCTTGTCAGCCTTGAAAGCCTGTTCAGGTTAGGTATAAGTGAGCGGAGTATTCTAATCCGATTAAAACTACCAATTAATTGATCTCTCAGAATCCAAATACTTTACTATGATACATAATTGCAAAATTCTATTTTACAAACAAAATCTTCTAAGACTGAAACCTTTTTCTTGCAAAAGACAAAATAGTGAAATATTTTCATCATTCTTTGAAGTGTTAAGAAACTTTTGATAAGATAGCATGATTGGGAAACATCTTATAGTCTAAGTAATCATTCACAAGTTGTGTGTTGGATTTTTCTCTTGGAGGGCTTTAGCAGCTTTTATTGGCCTGTTTAACACAGATGGGCCAATAAACCCCCTACTACTCACAAACCCTGTGTTATTAGTTGTAACACCAAGTGTTTTTTTGGTGTTAATTTTCTCCCTAAAATAACTACATGTCAAACACATAGCAGAGAACAAAGTCGTTGGTTACTTTTCCAGATAATCATTTTTTATAAGGTTTTAATGTCGATGGCACCAGAGTGCAGGTACAACTTAATGGCTCCTGTAAAATAGCTTTACCAGTCATCCATGTGTATCAGGCAATGAAAATAGGTCTAGATCTGTAGCAACCAAATATGTAAACCAACATTGGTTCATGTTGAATATTCAAATCATGAAATAATGGAATACATTTATTAATCTCCTTTAAATTTAAGTGGTTATGATCCTATGCTGATCGCAGAAAGAAAATGTCAGAAAAAAAAAATAAAAATCGTAAATCCAATCTTAGCCTGTTGTTGCTGCGAGACCGTCAACTGTTCATCTGAGTAATACAATTTACCTGAAGGCCATTACATTGCATTATCATAATTAACTCAATATATCATGTACCATTTTTTTCCTCGTCAATGAAACATTAGACATGTAACAGAATTATCTCCCCCTGGTCACAGTATCATTATCCAATAGTCTTCCACAAAAACCAACCAAACTAGATGACACGTTATAAAACGGTCTGCAACTATTTTATGTAAACCCACGACATTCTGTAAATGTGAAGACCAAATCTTCAAGTTAATAGCTGAACACTTTTCATCACTCCTTAGACGATACAGAGGACTGTGTCACATGATAATTTTTTGGTTGTCACATGACGGGTAAATGAAACAAGACAAGCTCACCTACGGGAAGGTTAAAACTTCATTATATCCTTTAGGTCTGTAATTACATCAGCCATGCCTTAGCCAGGGAAAAAGTCTTTAGAGCTCAAGAGAGAAGTGAACCATATTTCTGATCTTTGATCTAATTTGGGCCTTAAACAGCAAAATAACCAAGAACTGCAGTCGGGGGACTAGAATGATAAGTTCACAATTCAATTCTGAATTACTGATAATCAATTAATGTGATAATATGAACGGTCAGAAACATTTAGACATAAAAGTGTGTAACCTACCTTTAAAATGATTTCGTGATTTCAGACAGGAAACAGATCCACTCAAATTATTTGCAAGTAATATTCAAAATCCCTGATTAGCAAAATCTGTGAGTCCAATGAACAGATACGATCAGAATTTCCTGGTAAAAATATATAGATGACCACAAACCATAAATAGCGTCCTTTACCACTTGTCAGTTTACTCCTCCACTGCTGAAAGAGTTCCAAAAGGGAGATAAATAGTACTTTGGTGTTGTTTGAGCTAATTAAGAATAAGCTTTTTCTGTAGTTTACAAAGAGTGAGAAGACTTCTACAGTACAGAAGGATCACTGTGAATGGTAGCCAGTTAATGAGAGTAAGCAGTGTTCATCGACAACATGGATCCAATTTAGTCTTGTGTCAAGTGATGGAGACTTTTCCAGGGATTCAACAAACAAGGCATGATGCTTAATGGCTAATCAACATGTTTGGTACACATGTGTGACAGGGAGGACACACACACACACAGAGGAACACATGTGTCGGGTATGCCGAACCAAGAACACAACGCTCTGTGCACATACCAGCATTTCCACTTTACAGACAACATGTGGACTTAACCATCAACTCTACTAAAGCCCTGAGAACTGAGCAACCCCAACTGATCAGCTAGCAATGGTATTCTACAGCACAGCTGACGAAAAATTCATGAACTCCTTTGAATTGGAGCACTATTAAACTTACAGTCCTTGTACTTTAAACTTGAATAATAGAACTTCTACAAACTACTTGTTAGTCAGGAATGAAACTACCACTACAACAGTACAATAGTCCCTTTTCTTGACCTGTCTTCCCTTCTGTACTGACCCTCTCCTTAAATAACTGCAAATACATTCTTTTAATTGTTAAAACATGTTCAATCTTGGCCTTCCATCTGGTATCCTACTAAAAATAAAACCATTCCATCTCATGTATTTCCAAAATCTAAACAATACTTCAAGGAAAGCATTTGATTTGGTTTTCAATGTGGCAATCATTTTTAATATTGAGCACAATAAGGAACTGGGCAGCAAACAAAAAGAAGGAACTTTACAGAGAGGATAAGAAAATAATCAAGATGGAGTTATTAAACATCGAAGAAGTTTAGCACTCTGGCTGAGGTTTTCCCGACCTTTGTTCTAACATGTGAAGATGATTTGTAGATCTTATGGATGAACAGCAACTGAGTCTGTCAAAACAAGTATTAGGGGCAGGAAATGGTGTGTTTATTGTAGTAAGGAGTATTTAGTGCTGACCATTCTGGTTGAAGATCGGAAGCAGTAGGTCACAGGCCTCCACTATATTGTGTACCAGTTCTTTACCATACATAATCTTTGGACTTTCTTGGGGAAAATGAGTGTTGAGTATAAACTTGATTCAGTTAGGAATTTATTTCTAGAAATCTGTAACCATTCACAGGTACCAACCTGTAAGGCATCAAAATAACCTGAATGCTGGAAAAATATGCAGCAATCTGACAAAATCACGTCACAAAGTACCTTCATTTTCTCTCAATTCAATTATAAAACTTTACAGTTTCTTTTTAATACTTCAAAATGATATCAACACAGTAGTTAAACTGTCACATAACTACACTTTAACTCATGAAATATTGATAAGTATCATAATCATGAATTTTTCAATTCCTGCTATCACCTGTAAGATTCCCAATGACCTTAATAGGAGAAAGGTGACAAAGATATTTTCTTGTTTAACACTACAAAGGGAGGTGTAACTCTGAAGACATGAGAATGAAAGACATGGACTTGTTTTTGCTAAGGTAATGAAATACAGAAAAAATTCCTATCACATCTGATGATAAGAATCAAGTTCCTCTTTAGGACAAAGGGTAATAGTTTGGTTCAATTTTATACTATTTCTTTAATTGTGATTCTTTTTTCAGAAAGGTTCAATAAGAACAGTGATTTTGATAAAGAGATTATGACAGCAGACCTGAACCATGTTAACAGTACCAGACGGATTGTGCTGCCATAGATAGCCCGAGAATCACCAGTGTGGGATAACTTCAACATGTTTGCCATAAATCAGTTGTGAAATGTTTCATTTTCTGTGGTAAATCAAAAGAAAACAAATGAAACTCCTGTTACTGCCTAACATAACATTACATAATCCTGTAAAATAGGCTGTAGTATTTACCTAACAGATTACCCAGTTCTCATCAAATCAGGTTACTAATTGATCTAACATAAAATACATTTGAAGCAGCATTTGATTTCAATGCAGAAATGAGGAAGAGAAAAGTATTTCTAAACATCTAATTCAGTGGCACTAAGCTTTAAATGTTCCACATACATTTTTCAAATTTCACTTCAATCTAATTTCTAATAAAATTTGCAAATTTTATTGAGGGATTTGTTTCTGCAATATCCAGACTTTTCTTTACTACATTTAACCTAATACACAATCACGCTAGTTACAGGTATGACAAACAATCTTAGAATATCTAATTAATTTGAGTAATCTGGTAATACATCCTGGAAGAAAATATTTTTTGGCAAGTTCAATAAAATGTTCTTCACGTTTTTTTAAAGTTTAAAGATAAAAAAGAAAACCTATATATCACACTATGATAATGAGATTGACCAAATTAATAATTTTGTTTCAACAACTTGAAGGATTACTTGTTGGAACACAGCTGTATAACTGAGTACAAACATCAGAAGGAAGTAACGAAGTGATGGCCATGTTTAATCAATAGCTATACCATGAAATGCTGGAAACTATACTTTCATGTATCCTTTGGGAAAGGTTAAATTTACTCTCATTTTATTGTATATAGAAGCATTTCTGTTATTTCATTGTTGAAATGCTAGTCAAGACAATTCAAAACATATAGTCAGTGCCAAAATGTATAAAACAAGGAAGGGAGGGGATGGGTAAGGTATTGTCTTCACCTCATACTGTGTGACAATTAACACATTGGCTTGGGAGAACTTTCCTTGCTGCTTGGAGTACCAGGAGCTGGTAGGAGACAGTGTTTCAGCAGCTTACTTAAGTACTTGTGCCCCGAATGGTGAAGCATTTACATAGAGCTCTCAATCCAAATATGCACCTAGCTAGAACACGCAGTATGCAACTACACATTTCCTACATAAAGTTGATATCAGCGGGATTCCCCTACCTGACAAGGTCGATTTCAAGCCCTCAGATCTAAACCCAGATATTCAATAAAAACATAATTCAAAACTATTTTGCTGCGTTACACTATCAGATACTAATCACGTTACTGCTGTTCTAGATTTGTAGCAAGTTAAACATCAGGGAATATTAGCCATTCGAACACAGTTTAATGCTATTAAATTATCAACAACACTATTTTTACTCTTAGGAAAAAGATCAAGAAGTTATCTAGAAAATTTAGATTTTTTTCGTGTACAAATTTTACAATGATAACCCAATGCTATTTGCCCAACATTAGATGCATTCATCACTACTATGAATCTGTGATCCAGATTCTTGTCAAATTTATAGGCGCTACAGCACCGCATGCTGTTTTCTGAACGATGTGCAGCACATTCAAAGTTCCACACAAGTCTTCTGCACTCTATGAAGGCAAGCCTCTTGTTGTTTCTTCTGTCCTAGTAGAGTGTATTGAACATTACAAAAAACCTAGCTATTCAGATACAACCAGGGAGTTCAACCAACTCTTTACAACAGTAAAATGGAACCAAAATTTGCCTTTTTTGATATCTTCTATAAAACTAAACACGAACATGTATGAGGTAATTTCATCATAAAAGCCTTAGATGTCAAATTCAAATTTCTGTTTCCACAATGGAAGGTAAGTTATGAAGTGTAATATCTTGAAATATACCATCAGGTTCTATTATACTGGGTAGACTGGTATTAATAATGGTGTTTTTCATTGTCTTTCACGTTTCCATCTGATAACTAACTTAAGCACTACATCAGCAAGTTTCCTTAATTACAAAAACTATGATTCTTATGAATAAATTCGTCAATATTCATGATTTATATATTACAAATGACAAAAACAAACCACCATAAAGTGAATTTAGAACCACCTTTAGATTAGAGAACTCAAGACTCCATGTTTTTCCAAGAAATTAGAATCTGAGACATTCATTTTACAGACTAAAATTTTGAGGGAGGAAGGCATGGAGACCATGAAATTTTGACAATAAGTCAATGGTATAAAATGTCATTACACAATTAGTCCTACAGGCAGTACATCATTTAACAAGGTCAATGCCTAGTGGTGTCACTGCTGAGAATCGACCAATCATGCACGGCTTTAGATGTGTTGACCGACTCATGGATATTAGGCGATAACCACAATTTACTGTTAGGGCCACCTGATACATTGGACATGGGCCTAATGAAAATAGATGAACCATGCTGGATTAGGAAAACGAAAATTTGCCATGTCCGCAATCTATCTTCTCTATACCGCCATGGTGACAATTGGAAAGCCTACTTTTAGATTCAGTAACTGCGACATCCTCATCCATAGACTGGTGTGTCGAGAAACTGATAGCTGATATTGTCAGTGTGACCGTCATTATAACTCCAAGCAGAGAAAGACCTTGTGAGACGTTTTACATACATTTAATGCCTGTCTGCTGGAGGATCCGTGGTCGCCGGAGACAACTGAAGCTGACCTGCTGTTTTACAAGGACAAGTTGTCCTCAGTGCTTTGGTTTTACATGATTCCACAATTTGTTCTATCAACAAATCTTTTTGTTTCTTTTTAGTATCATATAACCACACAGTATTTTTAAGCATCTTTTTACTTATTGAGATATAAACAAATACATCATTTAAAAAACAATTTGTAAACAATGCTAGCAGTAGAACTTTAATATTCATTTTTTACAAATATCTAATTATTTCTGTCAAGTGGGCAATTAAATCCATTTCCAACTGAGTGTTTGTTCAGAGATAGAAGCGACACCCGAAACAATCATTACATTTTGTACGGCCCATCCTGGAATCGCGCTATAAAAGGCACATCAACTTTGCCAAACAATATCTGCATTCTGCAGTAACGTAAATTTGCTCCAGGAATACAGCTAGAATCACACAATCTAGAACTAGCAGAATATATTTGGCACATTCTCATCTCTCTAATGCTCCTACATAGATTCCAATCCAACTTGTTAGCATTTTAATTCAGAAGTTTCAAAATAAATCTTAATTGAACCTGTTAGCATTTTCAACACTCTATTGTAGACATTAAGCACTTAAGTTTTTCGTATTTTGTACAGGCTACACTATATCGTTTATTCACGGACATCTATGTAAACATGTTCTGCTAGAAAGGTTAAAATGGACCTGTTTTTCTTACTCCATTATG